TAGGTAAAATAGGCTTTGTAGTTCACGCGCGTTCCAGTATCAACAGAAAAATATCATGAGCAAAAATATGCCACAGTGGCCCAGTGCTCACGCCGAACGGCACGGTGAACGGCTGCGCTGTTTCCAATGAATGCAGTAGCTTAGTGTGCGCGTGAGGCGCTGGCGCGATCAAACAGCTGAAACATAAAATAGACTACTCCGTAATTTTTGGTCATACAGTAAAGGCATAATTCGAAAGTGCAAAGTGTTACCAGTTTGAAAATTCAAGAATAATAGCAAAGTTAATAAGAATTATTTCTAAATGCAGCACCGTTCTTATTTCGCTCTGCATAACCTGAACGAAAAAAAAAACATTTTTTTTTTTGCTAAGAACGAACCGAAACGAAAACATTTCGCTTTTAATCTGTGTATTTAACAGCCTGGGAAACCTTCCCAGGGCAGTACCTTGCCTCACCGACTAAAATCAGGGCGCCCACTACGGAGACGGCACCAGAGGTGAGGGGGCACAGTGACCGAGGTGGCCGGGCCGGACCCCCTCAGGCCCCCCCGTGGCGCCGACGCTGTTCCAGTGTATATCTGGACAACTTAGCAAACAGTTTGCCAAGCAGCGACACGATCCACCCGTTTACTGAGCCAAGTTTAGCTTTGAGGGCAACATTAGCCTGTAATTGTTTCATTGTTGGTTTACTAGGCAACTAAGAACGAACCGAAATGAAAACATTTAGCTTTTAATCTGTGCATTTAACAGCCTGTGAGACCTTCCCAGGGCAGTACCTCGCCTCACCGACTAAAATCAGGGAGCCCACTACGGAGACAGCACCAGAGGTGAGGGGGCACAGTGACCGAGGTGGCCGGGCCAGGCCCCATCAGGCCCCCCCGTGGCACCGACGCTGCTTAATAGACAATTTATTTTCAAACTTTTTTACATTTTAATCTGGACTACAACATGCCCTAGATATTGTTTGAAAATGTTTTGATTCTTTATTGTTCAGTTACACTTTACATTAAGGCTCCATTAGTTAAAATCAAAAGTTGCTACTGTGTTATTTAAGAAACTCAAGCTAACATGAG